TCCAGCCCAAAATTAGGCCCTTCTTCCTTCACATTAGATGGTCAAAGTATTTCAGTTTCATCTTCAGGATCTGGCCTTCTAAAGAGCACTCAGGGTTGATCTCCTCTAGGACTGACAGGTTTAATCGCCTTGCAGTCCAAGGGATTCGCAGGAGTCTTCTCCAGCACCAGAGTTCAAAGGCCTCCATTCTTTGGCCCTCAGCCTTTCTTATGGTCCCAACTTTCACAGCCATACATTGCAACTGAGAAAACCATAGCCTTGACTATATGCACTTTTGTTGGCAGGGTGATGTCTCTGCTTTTTAGTATGCTGTCTAGATTTAGCATGCTGTCTAATTCTTGGTCAGCCTCTTTACTAGCTCTTAAGTCAAGGGGGCATGCTACTACTTGCTGGGAGGAACAGCGAAGCACAGTTGAATTTTCAAAATCTCTAACATTAAAGGTTTCTGTTTTCAGTAGGGCAAGATGACTGCTATCATCAGACGGCTGATCTTATTTTTTATTTGTAAGCACCACCATTGAGGACAGGATGCCTTGGAGCACATTTTCCTTTACAGAACGTATTGCTACCTAACCTTTCTAAAACTGCTGCCGTTCCTTCCCCCAAGGTAGTAAAGTAGCAAGTACTAAAGAAAAAACCATTCAAGACCTGCATTGGACAAAAATGAATTTATTTAAATTGCCTGTCACAACAGGAGCATTTCCATGTCTACATGATGGGAAAAGTATGTAGATCTTAAAGCTGTAGGCAGCTCTGAATATATCAGATTGCTATTTTATGATAGGTTATTTCCGTCACCCTCCCTATCAACCACCACTGCAGGGCCAAAATAGTCCCTAGCAAAAAAAGGTGGATTGAGAGAAATAGCCTGCAAACTCCATTTTATGTGTTTAATGCATGGTACCTGTCTAACCCTTCCTCTAAGATAAACAGGATAAGTCAACCATGGCTACAGTCCAGTTTTCACTTGCCACCTTATATAAAGTGCACGTTGAATTGTTTCAATCGGTTCCTGCGAGTAATGTAGCTCGGTAGACTTCCCCAGTGTGTAAGGGCTGCTAAAATGGTGTCCAGTTCCTGCTTAAAAATGTCTTCCCCATGTCTAATGGAGACCGTCATAAGATCTTTTATAGCAGAATCATGCTCTTGACCCAGGAGACTTGTAGAATTATAGGCCAGTCTCAATATTCCATTTCATGATATAGTGATAAAAAAACTGTCATGGCCCTGCAGCTCTAGATGCAGCTAAATAATATTGATTTTTCTGGATGAACATCAAGCTTTCAGCCAGATTGTAGAATTAAAATACCCCGGGTGGCCTGGGTTTTTTCACTTGTTCTGAAACGGAATGGGACAAATTGCTGCAGCCACCTCACTGCAGCCAATTCGCCAGGCCAGGGCCATCTTGCCGCAATCAACTCACCAAGGCCAACCCGCCATGGGATAACTCGCGATGGGACAATTGAATTCAATTTAATTAAAATAATTAAACAATTATAATTTTTGTCATTCACATTTCATTTTGTTCCTCCTTTTGCATTATTTAACGATTCTATTTCACAATTTCTTCAATATTAGTGTAACTCTTGTTCCACAGCGAGTTGGCTGTGGCGAGTTGTCCCACAACAAGTGGGCTGCAGTGAGTTGGCCATGGCAAAGTTGTCCTATACCCTTCTGGAACTTTGATGGGAGTATAGCCCTAGCAGTTTTGTACCCCTTGTCACTTTTGCTATCACCACTACAGCATGTTGTGGAATATAGAGTAGACTTTCTGGACTATAGGATAAGATCAGACTCTTATTTTACCATGGTTCTAATTGTTCCACATCCAGAAGTTGATGCTGAGGTATTTTTCAGAGTATAAGACGCACCAAGATTTTAAAGAGGCAAATTTGGGGGAAAAAAAAGTTTTGCACTCTGCAGACTTCCCAAAAAACGGCCCGTTTTTCGCAAAAATGGGCCCATTTTTTGTCAAAAGAATGGCATGCATAGCCTTTAGGAGGCTTACAGAGTGCTCCTGAGGGCTGGAGGGGGGCCAAAAACAAGCAAAAAATGGCCCTTTTTTGCTCATTTTTGCCTTCCCCAGCCCCCAGGAGCAGTCTGGAAACCTCATAAAGGCTATGCATGGCCATTTTTGCAAAGTGGTCAGGATTTCGGGAGGTCAAAAATGCTGTTTTCAGTGTATAAGACGCACCCAGATTTTCACCCTCTTTTGAGGGAAAAAGATGCATCTTATACTTTGAAAAATACGGTAATTGGGGTAGCCTCTTGATGTCTTGTAGACTTGCTCCCTATACTGTAAGGATGAAAGGTGGGGGAGGAGTTTTGGAAGGTTATTCCCAGCTGATGTTAACCTAGCTCTATTGCTCCTCATTCAGTTCCAAGAAAGGGACTAGTTCCTGTCAATTCAATAATGCAAGTCAATGAACAGGAACAATCCGAAATTAAATCCAAACGAGTTTTCAAATGAGAAACTGAAGATGGAGACCAAGATCAACCTAATTTCTAAGTTCTTTGAAAGAGCAGGTTCCCAGGCTGGGAGTACTCCTCGAGCTTCAAATGTCACTGAATTCTCAGGTGAGGTGAGTGCACCCTTGTAGTTACATCTAAAGTAACTGCACCTTTCTCAGGTTGGTCAGGTTTGAGGAAAAGTTATCAAGGTGTTGTTACTTCACACCTTAACTCCTGCAACTTGTCCATCAAGAGACTGTTTTTTACAGACTACAAAAACTGCACTTCAGCCTAACTAGTACAAGATCATGTGAAGCCTGTACTAAAAGTTCTCGGGTTTGCCAGTTGCTTCCTGAGCATAATCAAAGGTGTTCATGTTAACCTTTACAGCTTTAAATGGCTTAGAATCTGTCTTATGATTCACACTTTTATAGTTGTTGGGATCTCCAGGGCAGGTTCTTTTCATGATGTCTCCTTTGTGTAACTCATGCCAGTTCTTATTTTTGGGGTGTGGGAGAGGGCCTCATTCTCAGATAATGCTCCTTCAGGAGCTGCAAACAGTCACTATTTCTTTGGAGTGGGGGGCATTTAGGATATCTGTAAAGATGCATCTCTCGCCAGGTGCTTGCTTTTTAGATGATTTCAGTTATTTGTCATTCGTATTTGCATTCAATTATTAGCCAATTTTTGTAATCCTCAGAAGGATAGAGTACACATCAAATGTTTACAAAGATCTTCTCCCTCCTTTTCCCATCTCAACGTTTGACTGGAGTTGTAACCCTAGCAGTTTAGAGAGATCAATCTTTCTCAATCAACACTTGTTTTCAAAAGGCAAGAAAAGTGTTTTGGAGCTTATCTATTTCATTTAATGTTACGTTATTGCCCAGGATGATAACCTCAAGAGGCTGGCTGTAGCTTTAGGAGTTGAGAAGAAGAATTTGTCAAGCTATTTCCACCTGCCTTACATAAGTACTTGCTCGCAAAATATGCCACTGATTATGAGACATTCCCTAATCTATAAATAAATAGTACGGTGCGTGTAATAAGGGTGCAGCCTATGAAACATTCATGGTTTCACTAGAAGACATTCACACTCATCAAAGAGAAAGCAGTCCGTGTTTTCTTTCCCCATTAAAAGGGAGCGTGCTTCTGCTTTTCATCTTGAAGGTATGGGTCCTTCCAATCTCTATCCGCGAAAGATCTGGCTTTTGAAAGGACGCCTCTGTAGGAGCTTCACTAGGACCTTTCTTTACAAGAGACCGACAGCACGGCAACCATCTTTCCTAGGCTGCCATCTAGCTCACTTAATACTATACAAAGCCCAGTGTTAATATGTAACATGCTTGTGCTCAGCCGCAGCTTCCCTTGTTAAAAAGTAGAACAAAAGAAATTGCATATGAGAATGATAGCGGGCTGAAACCGGAAGCAGGGGGGAGGGGCTACTACACAGGCGGGCTAGCGTTCAAATAACGGAATCCCCAATGGGGATTAGCTAAGATCCTCACATCCTAACTCACAACTATCGAATATAGGGGAAACAACTGAACAGGATAGGACATACCTAGATCACCAGCATACAATAGTTTCAAGTCTTCATCTTCTGCCACAGGAAGAATATTGCAAAGGAACTTGGAGTCCAAAACTCAGGCTGGTATCACTCAAGTTCCTTTGTTCCAAAGGTGGATGGGTTTTCAGAGAAATCACTTTCAAGCCAGTTTTAAGAATTTTTAAAGATGTAATCAGTGGTGGGATTCAGCCAGCTCGCACCACTTTGGGATAACCAGTTGTTAACTTTCTGAGCAGTTTGGCAAACTGGTTGTTGGAAGAAATCATTAGGGCAGAGAACCAGTTGTTAAATTCCTTGAATCCCACCACTGGATTCCCACACTATGAGCAAGTGAGTTCCCTGGTCAGTTTTAGGCAGATTATGATCTTCCTCCTTAAAGAGGCAGCCTAAGTATTTGATTGTAAATTCTGAATTTAAGTTAATTTCAATTTCAGCTTGTTAAAAAAAATCTAAAATAAAACATATCATGCTTGTTTAAACTAAATCTTTCCCCAGAGCTGTTTCATATAGCACTCGTGTCTACTATGTTTGATCATAGGAAACACAAATTGGGAAGGCAAACCTGGTGGAAAGTAATTTTATGGGACAATTGTTGCCTCTGCTGCTTAAAAGGTAAGACAAAGCACTTCACCTTGTCAAGGTGAAGACATTTGTGGAGGGGGGGGGAGAAGCAGCTTTAGGGAAAATCTATTTTTTTAAAACACGGGTACGATAATAAAAACAATTTTAAAACACCAAAATGATTGTAGTTATGAGCAGCAATTACACGAGTCAACTAAATGATTTTTTTTTTCTACTATCTTACATGATACCAACTAATGTCTGCTTTTTTCTTTCCAGTATTGGATCCCTTTGCCACATGCCAAAGGCTTCATGTCATGGATGAGACCTTTGCTTGCTGTTTCATCCTATCAGCGTTTTGGCATAATGGCAAAATTCGCCCTCGTAGGGCCTGCAAGAGTGGTTGGCAACCGTGATGGAAATGGGAGGTCTTAAATAAGCAAGAAGTAACTAACTAAAAAGGAAACCTGGAAGGTGGTAGGAGAAAGAACTATAAAAAGGCACTGGGGTTGGCTCTGGGATCCTTCTGGTTTCTGTAACGCATTGCAAGCCATACTCCAAGGATCTGAAAGGCAAAAAAAGAAAAACCCAATTACAAGATGTCATTCCTTCATCCCAACATGCTTATCTTATGAATGATTAGGAAATTATTTGTCATGAGCTGTCTCTTTCAAATATATGGTACCCTTTGAGAACCAGTTTTCAGAGTTAAATTCATACACTATTTTCCTGAAAATAAGACGTCCCTGGATAATAAGCCCAATAGGGCTTTTGAGCGCATGCGCTAAAATAAGCCCTTCCCCCCAAAATAAGCCCTCCCCTAAAATACTTAAACATGTGCGCAGCTGGTCTCATTTCCTGGGGTGGGAAGTGGGGGACATCCCCCATGCACCTGCCATCCACGCGGAATGGCCTTGTGGAGGCCATTCCCGCAAACCCTAGTTACCACGCCTTTTCTCTTAGTGGCGGCTGCAAAAAGAGCTGCAGGCCCAGCGAAGCTAGGGCTGGCAAATGTGTGCCAAAAACAAAGACAGAACATCTGGTCCTCTCTGGATCAGCTAATCCGCAGGCCATGGGATGAGGTTAAGGGGCCTCCTGAACCTCAAAAATAAAAAGACCTCCCCGAAAATAAGGCCAAGTTCTTATTTCGGGGGTCAAAAGAAAGTAAGACCCTGTCAGGAAAACACGATAGAACTTCCTTGGCAACATGATCTTTATTGAGAATTTGGGAGTTGTGGTCCAGTGCTCTAAAAGAAGTCTTTCTTGTCTGTCAGCCCTGGAATGCCCTCCCTCAAGATGCCAAATTAATTCAAACGCCATTTCCATTTCAACGCTAAATTAAAAAATATCTATCCAACCAAACTTTAGAGATGTAGGAACTACAGCTTATCCTTGACGTGAAATTACCAAAGGGATAGATTGTAATATTACTCTGTATCGAGAGCCGGTTTGGTGCAATGGTTAAGGCACCAGGCTAGCAAGCAGGAAACCATGAGTTAAGTCCCTCCTTAGCTATGAAGTCAGCTGGGTGACTTTGGGACAATCACACACTCTCAGCACACACCTCCTTCAGAGGACTGTTGTTGTGGGGAAAACAAGAAGAGGAAGATAAGATCAGATATGTTTGTCGCCTTCAGTTATTTATAAAAATAATAATAAAGGCGGAATACAAATAAGTAAATAAATAAAATCTCTCCACGAGATCAGGGGATATTTCAAACACTTAAATCACAGTTGTCAAACTCGATTGAATCACAGGCCGGATCGTAACGTATCTCCACGCTTTTTGTCTTTGTGGAGTTGGGTGGGCGTGGCCTGCCCCTGACATATCCAGTCCAGTGGACACCAGTCTGACAGGCCTCACTTAAATGATTGACTGTTACCTAGGCTAAGTAGCTTTCATTTAGTTTCATAGACATTAGTTACCTCTGTGAAACTGAAGAAGAGTCCAACTCCACCAAGGATTTTCAAAGCCTCATCGGCATGTTCCATCAGCAGAACACCACACTTTAAGCATACAGATGTTTTTCTGCACGGCTGCATGAGGCGACAAAATGCAGTGTAACTTTATATTCCCCATTTGTAAGAGACAACCCGTTTCCTATTTGCAGACACCATTAGCAGCAGTGGTGGGAATTAGCCAGTTCGCACCACTTCGGGAGAACTGATTGTTAACTTTCTGAGCAGTTTGGTGAACTGGCTGTTGGGAGAAATCATATGGGCAGAGAACCAGTTGTTTAATTAATTGAATCCCACCACTGATTAGCAGCAATCAAAAATTGGACTCCGTTAGGAATTGGATTGCTTTTCCTCTGAAGCTGTTCACTGGTGAATTAGAAGGTAATCCTATCCAGTTATTTCTACACAGAAGGAAGTTGCATACTTACAAATAATACACAACGGATAGACCCCTGCCAAAACTGACACACAACCGTTAACTCCACTGGCAGCATTGTCAAAAGATTGTAGTTCAGCATATCTGAACAGAACCTCAATGGTGGAACACTTCAGGCACGCTCATTTACTGCATCAAAAATGCTTGCAGGAGTTCACAACCCATACACATTCTACCTTGAATTTAATCTTGGGTAATCTGCTCTAAATAAGATGAGCTGGTTTGAAAAGTACTTTTAAAACTATGAAATGCACAATATACGGATTCATAACACAGTAATACTGTGGGTGGGTGAGTTGTTCTTTTGTTTTTTGCTTTGATCAGGGGATATAGGCCGGGGTGAATGTAACAGTATAACGAGGATTTTGAAGGCATTCTAATCCAATGTCCTGTTCAAGCAGGAGGCCCTATACCAGGGGTCAGCAACCCATGGCTCTGGAGCCGCATGTGGTTCTTTCATCCCTCTGCTGCAGCTCCATTGCCGGTCGGCTCCACAATTGATAGGGCTTTCAGTAAGGACAGGTAGAGGAAAAAGGATGCCACGCTAGGAGGAGACTATGGTGGGGGAACTGGTCTTCCAGTCAGCAGAGGAAAAAGGACGTTGCACTAGGAGACTATGGTGGGAGAACCGGATTTCTGGTTGGCCCTAGAATTGAATGGGGTGCTTCCGTCTAGGACCTTTGTGGCTCTTTGAGTGTTTAAGGTTGCCAACCCTTGCCCTATACCATTCTGGACCAATGGCTGTCCAATCTCTTCTTAAAAGCCTTCAGTGATGGAGCATCCACAACTTCTGGAAGCAAGCCAATTCACTAATTAATTGTTCTCACTGTCAGGAAATTTATCCTTAGTTATAGGTGTGTCCTTTCCTTGATAAGCTTCCATCTGTTACTTCTTGTTCTGCCTTCAGGTGGGGTTGAAAATAGGTTGAACCCCCCCCCCTTTCTTTATGACTGGCCCTTGAATATTGGAAGACTGCTGATATGTCACTCCTATTTTTCTCTTCACTACACTAGACATATTATCATGTTTTAGCCTCCAGTCCCCTAATCATCTTCAATATGTACTGTGGAGGAACGGGATTACAGTTGTGACAAGCAATGGGATGTACAGCAAAGAGGGTGAAGATGAACCACATTCAGGAATGAAATGCTTGATAGCTTCAATCATCACTCCATTTTCCAGCTTCCAGTTCTCACTCTAAAAACCAGATTGCTGGAACCCAAGCTCCAGCTGCTGCTATTGATAGGCCTATTATTATTTAATATCTATTAAAATCCGTGTATGAGAGTTGAGCAGATAAATTAGTTTAATAAATAAATAAGGGCGCCTGACACTTCTCGTTTGCATCCCTGAAGCCTAAGAGGAGGAGGAGGTCATGTTCTTCTCTTGGGAAGCTGCTAATCCTGGATTCTGAGTTCGCAGCCAGTGAGAATCCTAAGATGCAGGAAGCTGGGTAGATTCTGTCAGGATCAATGGCACTACATGCAGATAGCTATGCGCCAATCTTTGTTTGTGCCAAATGGGTTTACTCCTCCTGTACCATTCCTTCTCCTATATCGCAGCCTTCGTGTCAGAGCTACTAGACCTTGTTGCTGAGGTGAAGATGGCATACCCCAAGGAGGATAGTTTTGGGAGATTTCAACCTGCCTTTCCTTGACAAGGTCATGGTATGAGTCAGGACTAAACGGCTGCCATGACAGTTATGGGCCTAATGCATATGGGGAAAAAAAGCACATTAGATTTGTACTTTGTCTCAATATGATCTGACCCATGACCTTTGCCTGTCGTGGAGAATTTGCTTTATGATTGCTGGGGAGTTCTGTGATGGAACTAACTCATCCGTGGAAAAAGGCCTATTAACCCAGATGCTGCAGAGGGTGAAATAAATAAAAATAAATCTGTATCTTTAATACTGTGGCCTTGTTTAAAATGACTTGATCCTTTTAGGGAAAAATAGTCACAATCATTTCAATGGCTGCCAAAAAGAATTCTTGTGGTATTTTGTAGATAGCTAAGCAGATTCCAGAGCAGTTATATATTTCAGTAGGAAAAGGGAGATGACTGAACTTCATATCTTGTGGTATGCTCTGGGATCATTTTGAATCTTGAAGCAAATATCTGGAATGTCATCTTCACTGCTTAGTTGAATGCCTGTCCCTCAGGGCTGGTGAGCCCCTGCCCACATAAAGGGGCAGAAAGTTCAGTTTGAAGAGTAATCAATTCTTCTCCAAGGGACAACCTTTGTCAAAGGTAAACCATTTGAAAAAGGGTGCGGTAGGTCCTCTGTTCAAAGAACTTTGACTTGATTTGACTGTTTTGGATAATTTAGACCTATAATCTAGGATGTCAGGCCTACGCCCATCTTTTCTTTTGGATCTTTGGCCTGCCACACTTTCTGTTATTCTACTATGCATTTTCTATTGTGGGGAAATGGGAGAGGGGATTGTATGAGTGAGATGCGTTGTAGCCATAACAAAATTCTTTCTAGAAAGCCAAGGTCATTCTTTGTCTTTGCACCTCTGCGCCTGACCGGAACTGGATGGGTGGAAGCTGCAAGCATGACAGTAGAAGATTGGACCATGTGATGGACTTGTGGGTGTGGGGGCAAGATCTTGAACTTTCAACTAGGTGGGGAAAACTAGGAAGCTTTCAGATTTGGGTTTTCCGAGTTGTGCCAACATGGCTCTCTTAATAAATTGGAACTTTGAGCAATACTTTGCCTAGGACTCTGATTTACTTTTGGATGCTATTTGGAACCCTGACATAGGAAACATTCTAGAGAAGGTAGTG